ACGAGAACGTGAGAACACCCTTTTATCATAAACAATTACATGTGATACTATTATTCCAATACATATGATACACATGTGATACTAAATCAAAGACGTGAACGACTTTTGACGCAATCTAGATTGTAGGCCAAGTCGCCCTTATACCATTAAGTCCCCTCACATGTACTATCACATGTGATAAATGTGTTATTAATGTGATACTATAATCCATCAAGATCATCACGTGTGATACTAAATTATAGACGTAAACGACCTTTGATGCGACCTAAATCTCAAGGCATGACATCCATACACCACCAAGTCCCCTCAAGTGTATTATCACATGTGATAAGAATGTTCTCACGTTCTCGTAAAATGGTGGTATTCTCGTTTGAACCTCTACTTATATATATACACACACACACACACATATATATATAATATATATATATATATATATATATATATATATATATAATTTGAAATGTAGTTTGCCCTATACTTAATGATAAGATATATATAGAGAACACGTTTCAAATACAATCTATTATATTTGTACAACTAATACAACCTTAAAAATCTAAATTATCCATTTTTTATTTTTTTTAATTGATAATCTATAATTACCTTTTCCACCTCATCAAATGCTGACTATAGATGAACTAATTGATGGTTAAATTAAGACTATATTGGTTGTACAAATGGAATAGGTTGTAAAATAAACCACACATATGTGTTCTAGTCGACTCATTTGACTTAATTAATTTGATTTATCAACAGAACAAAAAATGTTAATTTAGTAACGTAATTATTAATAACAACTAATTAACCCAAGGAAAGTCAATTATCATTATAAATAGGGAAAAATACAATAAAAACTAATGGACTTTCTTGTTTGGAATGATTAAGTTATTGGACTTTTTTTTTAAACAAATAAGTCATTGGACATTCCGAAACATGTTAAATAAGTCATTGGACAATTAGATGGAACAAATAAGTCATTGGACATTCCAAAATATGTTAAATAAGTCATTGGACACTTTTTGGAACAAATAAGTCCTTGGACATTCCAAAAAATGTTAAATAACTCCTTGGACAAATTTTGGAACAAATAAGTCCTTGAACAATCCAAAACATGTTAAATAACTTCTTGAACTTTTATAAAACATGTTGGATACATTCTTATGACTTGTACAACTAGTTAAAGTGGTAAAATAGTGAAAAAAAAATCCGAAAAAACCCTAATGAACATTCATATTTTGAACGATAAAGTGGTAAAATAGTGAAAAAAATCCGGAAAAAACCCCAATGAACATTCATATTTTGAACGATAAAGTGGTAAAATAGTGAAAAAAATCCGGAAATATATTTTGTCAGTGATTTTTTAAACTAAAAAAATTATAAAATTATAAAATTATAAAATATATTATTTTTAATTAAAATAAATTTCACCAGTAATCTTTTTAGATCTTTTTTTAATTTAAAAAATCACATACATGATATATATATTTTTAATTAAAATAAATTTAATAATAATTAATTTTTTTGTTTGAAAAATTACTGACATAATATATTTTAATTTTAATTAAAATAAACTTTATCAAAAATATTTTTTAAATGTAATTATTTTTTTGTAAATGTAAGTACTTTTTTGTTATATTTGTTTAATTTTATAGATCTAAATACTTTTTGGTTCAAAAAATATTTAGGGGCTTAATCGTTCAAAATATGAATGTTCATTGGGTTTTTTCCGGATTTTTTCCACTATTTTACCACTTTAACTAGTTGTACAAGCCATAAGAATGTATCCAACATGTTTTATAAAAGTTCAAGAAGTTATTTAACATGTTTTGGATTGTTTAAGGACTTATTTGTTCCAAAAATTGTCCAAGAAGTTATTTAACATTTTTTGGAATGTCCAAGGACTTATTTATTCCAAAAATTGTCCAAGGACTTATTTAACATACTTTGGAATGTCCAATGACTTATTTGTTCCAAAAAATTGTCCAATAACTTATTTAACATGTTTTGGAATGTCCAATGACTTATTTGTTCTAAAAAAGTCTAAGAACTTAATCATTCCAAACAAGAAAGTTCATTGGTTTTTATTGTATTTTTCCCTTATAAATATACATGTCACTCTCTCTCCCTCTAAATTGTAACCGTCCCTTTTCTCTCACCTCTCCCATCCATTTCGTTTACATCCGAACCATTGATCTAACTATCAAGTTATGTGCATGACGTGAAGAAACTAAAACGATGGAATTTCAAATAACGAATATACCGAAATCACAATGTAAACACACTAAAATAATAAAGTTTGAAATAATCGACATATTGAAACCACATTATGAACCCATTAAAACAATAAGATCTAAATACTGTTAGGTGTATATACACATTGTGTGAGCCAGTCATATCACAATGTATACACCAACTAATGTTTTTGTTTCATAAGAGTTTGTGCCGTGTATTAGAATTGAGGCGAGATCGGTTCCGAAATAGATTTGAGACAATTACCATTAACAAGATTATGTCTACATGGGCATTTCTATCCGGGGCCGGTTTTAAGATTTTTGATGCCCTGTGCGAAAATAATAAAAAATGCCCCTAAACCTTTTTTTTAAGCCAATGAAACAACGAAACATGCGAGTTTTAAAGAGTTTAGAACATATTCAAGCTAAGTGTATCATCTTCATGTTGATTTTTATTAATTATAATAAAAAATACAATTGAGGGGGGGGGGATAAAAACCAAAAAAAAATACAAAATATAGAATGATAAAAGGATAAATCCTGGATTAAGATCGTGTTTTCTTCTTTTCCAATTTTACCATTTCCAAATTGAAATTAGCAAAATAGAAACTTTATTTCAATATATGAGACTTAAAAGATAAGGAAAACTATTAATTTTTAACTAAAATAGTAAATTACATCCAAATTACTGTCATATTAAGTATAAAGTAAAACTCGAATGTTATAGGTCAATGACTAAAGGCTAAGAACCTATCTGTCAGCAGCTTAATAAGCTTAAAACTTATTCGCTCAACTATGCATGACTGTTTCGTAGTGGCTTAATGATATAAAAAGTGACTTATCCGGTAAGCTTCTAGGGGGAGCTTTATATAGAAAGTCAAGTTTTTCTTCCCAAACACGTCCCTTCCAACTAAAAACACGCTCCTTACATCTGTTAAAAAACTCTCCCAAACAAAAACTTTTCCAACTTATACAAATAGATGAATTCATACAGATAACTTTATAGTTAAAACTCAGTTGCCCAAAATTCCCAAACTATTAAACCCAAAACTAGTAATAGATGACAACTTGATACCCCTTTAAGCTTTGATGCCCTGTGCGGCCGCACGGGCTGCACGTGGTCAGGGCCGTCCCTGCTTCTATCGTAACCCAATTTCTTGTTATATCAGTTTTAGCAATAAATTATAAATTAAAATTTTCCAAATAAATCCATAACTATTACTTAATACTCAAAATATACAATTGAATAAATAAAAAATTATTTTATTGAATAAAGCAATTATTGAAATATGAAATGTAATAATTATAAATTACTTTATTTTTATTTGTAAATATTTAAAAATAATTTATTGCATAGTTATATTTTACATTTCTTAGAAATATTTTTTTATTATATTATTATATCTATGTAGATTTTATTTTATTAATCAGTTACTTGATTTATGATTTATAAGGGGTCGTTTACTAAACGTTTACTTGGTAAATGCTTATCGGATAAGTTTCCTCATCAGATGAATATCGACAAGGGCCAAGAATCTTACCGGGTAAGAGCGATGAGAATGATGGAGTCTTACCCGGTAAGTGAAGATTACAATACTTATCCAGGTAAGCGTTTACCCGATAAATTGTTGCATTGAATACGTTTTGATGTATTAAATCCTTACGCATCAAAATAAATTATAGTGTTGACTCCAATAGATAAACATTTATTGGATAAGCATTTGGGTATACAACCCTTTGTAGTTATATTAACTTGTAGATCTATGTTTTATAATATGCCTATTATTTTTGTTTATAATTGTAACATTTTTTTTTTGAATTTTTAAACTTATTTTAAAAAAATTTGAATAAATAAAATATTGTAAAAATATATTATACTTAATAATAAATACCTGTCTTTTTATATCTGATATTGAAAGACATTCGGTCAAATAGAAACAATCTTTACATCCAGACTGAGTTTTTCTAATCGAGCATTTCCTGCTTTATCATTGAAGATTATTTCATTGGTTCCTTTTTGTCAAATACAGTATTTTATTTATGAATGTAGAAAATGCTATCCTCGAAAAGTCAACAATTAAAATTGATACAAGTCTAAATTATAATAAAGCATAATTATACTGAAAACTAAAAACATAAAATGATTCTAAAAATATCTCCTATTGGCGTAAACAAACTCAAACCATTGACTCTGTGTATTTTTCAGGCATTTAGAAGCACCGCCTCCAGCACAAATGCATTTCTTGCTCAAGATCGTCGATGAACCAGAAGGATCTAAATCTAAGCAGAGATTGACACCGTTTTCGTCTTCGTTCGTGAATTGAAATCTAGAATTTCGTACTGATTTCCACCTACTTTGTTTTTCGTAGCAATTCGTCGTCAGCTTCACTGGAAGCCCGTCTCCGACCACCATGAGACACCACGGGGTGCTTGATAGCTGGATTGGAGCTCCATCACCAGCGTGACTCCATCCTGTTAACCCCTCACATTCACCGGCGTAGATTTGGTTCATATCGTTATTTTTAATGCATCTTCCAGTCAGTGGGTGGTGCAAGAATGTGTAGTTCCATGATCTAGATTTCGGGTCTACATGAAGTTAATGGTTAAACAGGTAACAAGAATTATATCTGATTGGAGGTTACAATTTTGATCCATTTACTTATAAATGAGTCAATCTGGGTTATAATTATCTTCAACGTGTTAAAAGGTACATATTTTTTAGTAAATTGTCATCTTAAAAAACATATTTTCTTAAACACGTTTAAGAGTATATCTATACTATATTATAAAGCATTTCACAAAAACTCTTAAAAACAATTTTTTATGCATGAAGTACTGTGTATTAATCCATACTACTTATTAAAGCTTCATTTTTGAGTTCGTATAACTAATAAACATAATCAAATACAAGAAAAACATCTCATTTTAAATATAAAAATCTAAAATATAATTAAGATAATCATTGAGTTCTAACAGAATCATTATTTTTATAAAAAATTCATTGTTAAGCCAAAAATAAATTACTTTACTATTTTGCCTAAATTATAATAAAAAAATTGAATTAAAGAAATTATACGAAAAACGAGAACTTTTAAATAGTTAATTTGATATTAATATCGATATATTTTTTCAAAATTTTATGATGTCTTCAAATTTATTTTTATTTAAAAGTAAAAACATTATCAATATTATATCAACATAGACAAAAAAAAAAACAAAACAAAACATTAAAATAAAGATGTATTTTGTTACACTGTGCGAGTACCCTTCTAATAATTTAAAAATGTATAACATACTTTCAAAAATAATGTAAAAAATAGACACTTAAATAAACATTTTTCAAACTATAAACTCTTAAATAAACTTCTTTCAAACTATAGACACTTAAATATATTTTAATTAAAATATAAATTATTAAATATAAAATACTTCAAAAAACAATGCCATTCCAGAGATCCACAAGACCAAACCTTACAAGCCCGTTTTCAATGAGTAAGGAAAAACGACATGCTTTTTAAACCCGTATTGGGCGGGTTTTAGGGTTGAAAAAGGGATTTATCTGACATTTTCTAGCTTAATCGGGCTTTTTCAGGATGAGCTTTTTCGGACACCCAAAATTTTGGTCCGACTTAAATCGGGCTTTGTGCTTACTATGATCGGGATTTTTTGGACAGGCTAAGACAAGCATCCAGGCTTAAATTTTTTGTACATCTCTAGTCCGTCCTAAAAATTTAATATTAGAATTATGTTCGAAATGTATATATACTATATTATAAAACATTTAACAAAAACTCTTAAAAACCATTTTTTTATGCATAAAGTACTGTTTATTGATGCATATTACTTAAAATTTAAGATTACAAGTAATTTTACGTAAATACAACTTAATAAAGCTTTATTTTTAAATTCGTGTAACTAACTGTAGATAAACATAATCAAATATAGAATAAACATCCATTTTAAATATAGAAAATCTAAAATATAATTAAGATAATCATTAATTTTTAACAGAATGTTTAATTATTTTCTTTAAATAATTAGTTTGATACTAATATTGATTTGTTTTTTCAAATTTTTATGCTATTTTCAAATTTATATTTTCTTTCAAAAATAAAAAAGATTATCGCTTTATCAAAACCATATGAAATCGTATATATCAATAAAGACAAAAATAAAAATTAAATATTAAAATCTCGCTGTATTACGCGAGTATCATTCTAGTTAATAATAAAACACTTGTACCTTGAAGTGTTTGATGAATAAGATCCAACCGGCGGTTAAAACCGGGATTTCTAAGCCCGGCCCAATTGTTATCAAGCAGTCCAAATACTTCATCCACGTTTTGGACCCCTTCTCTAAGGTAATAACTCCCTTGCAAAGCCCATAAGGCCCAATCCAAGTCCATTTCAGCCAAATAAGCCATATAACAAGTCAAAAAAAGGTTATCGGCACGGTCCCCACCCCTTAGGTCCACGCCGAACTCCGTAATAAACAACGGGGCCGGATCCGACCCAGTTGTTAAAAACCCTGCCTTTTTGTTTATCCCACGAATAACATTGTCGCAAACTTGGTTTAGTGGTTGATGTAACCATTGGTTTTTTGGTCCCGCTGTGAATGAGTATCGGTGTGTTTCGTAGACTATTTTGTTCGGTAATGTGCTGTCTAGTCCCAATGGTTCAGTTTTTAGTGGAGTGAAGTCGATGCTGTAATGTAAGCTAGAGATGATGACTAACACGTTACAATTAGCTTTGTGGATCGATCTTGCACCTTTGCGAACCCATTTGTACCACTCGGTCACATTTTGGCGGGGCCCACGTAGCTCGTTACGCAAACTCATAGCCACGACCATAGGAGTGTGTGCGTAACGGTTTCCGACAATCGATAAACCTCGCCGCCATTCTCTTGGGTCGAAATACTTGTCCCCGAAAAACCCGTTACCGTCATTGCTGCCGCAACACCACATTGGTTCACTGACATGGTTATCGAGCACCACCATGACTCCATACGACCCGATCACATCTATCACCACCGAAAAGGCATCAACTACCGTAAGATCCAAAACCCGAGGATTATTCTCCTCAAGACCCTTGATTGCCTTTGTAAGGTTCAAATCCTTAAAAGACTGCATAACGGTTTTCGTGCTATAACGAGTGAACATATGAGTAGCCCAAGTGAGTCGAACGCAATTAAACCCCAATAAAGCGACATGCTCCACGATGCGATTCAGTGGTTGCTTGTCGAGTCCCTCAGCTAACATCGGTTTCAGATGAGCCGGCCAGTTTACGCACTTGAACTTGACCCGATCACCGGTCAACGTGTCCACGACCCATCTCGATTTAGTCGATAACGGGAGGGAATAAGAAAATTTAGCAAAGAGAAAAAGAAATAAAATTGAAAATACAAAAGAATTCATGATTGATTTGTGAAGTAATCACAAGAACATTTGAGGTTATATAAATACAACATAAATGAGGATAAGCTTTGAAGTCATGTACCATCATGTATGCATAATGTACAAGTATCAATGCATGAATAATTATTCTACTATTTTTTTAGTTTTGGTTTAAACAAACTTAACCCAAATTATATGGGATTACGTTTGAATTCTGTTGCTCAATTTTATTCAAATAAACATCTGTACTATATTTTAAAATTTTTGACAAAAACTCTTAAAAATTATTTTTTATGTATAAAGTACTGAATATTGATGCATATTACTTAAAATTCAAGATTACAAGTAAATTATGCATAAGTACAACTTATTAAAGTTCGATGCTTGAATTCGTATAACCAACTGTGGATAAACATAATCAAATAGAGAATAAACATCTCATTTAAAAATATAAAAAATCTAAAATATAATTAGGATAATTATCGAGTTCTAACAAAATAATTAATTATTATTTTTATAAGAAAATTATATTATTAAACCAAATATAAATTACTTCGTTATTCTACATAAATTAAATTATAATAAAAAATGAATTAAAAAATTAAACAAAAAATGAAGAATTTTAAATAGTTAATTTGATACTAATATCGATATATTTTTGTCAAATTTTTATGATATCTTCAAATTTATATTTTATTCAAAAATAAAAACATCATCGCTTTCTCAAAATCACATAAGATCATATTATAACATCGACGGAAATATAAAATATAATAAAATATTAAAATCAAGATGTATTTCGCTGCATTGCGCGGGTACCCTTCTAGTATTAATTAAAGTATTTTAAATAAATATTCAATTAAATTTGATCACGTATCTAATTATCTATATGATTGTCAGGATCGTCCCTTAGCATGTTAAATGTGAGAGCTTGAACAGGGCCCCCAAAATTTTGGATCCCAAATTTACATGTGTTTAGGGTCTTTTATCAGCCCACGTAAAACTATAGCCAAAGTTATTTATGTTCAAACCATTAATTGTTTGGTTTTAGCTTCAAATCATTAATGATTTAAGTTTAATTTCAGATTGTTAATCTTTTTAGGTTTAGCACATTTTTGTTTTTAACATATATTCTCTGATATCTCATTTATGCAATGCAATCAAAAGTTTTGGATGTAACCGGACCTCCAAAAAGATTGAAACGTCCCTGATGATTGTATCTACATCAAAATTTGATCTAATTTTAAATTCAAAATTTATTTTTCATATCGAAATCTAAAAAAATATCTAAAAAGAATTGCATTCGTCGACAGAAAGTCATCTCAGATCGTTTTACAGATTTCAAAGGACCGTCAAGGACACAAAGTACATGCTCATATTAAATGGAAGAGAGAGAGAAACGATGACGTAAAAACATCTTTTAGCCATTAAATTTTGATGAAATTAAATCCGAATTGTTTAGAAAGTGTTTTCTTTTGACAAGATTTTTTTTACGACAAATAGAATAAAATTGGCCATCACGCCAGTTTATACAATATGCGTTTTATCAGATTTTAAATGGGATTTCGAGGACTATGGTTATATTTGACAATTATAAGCTAGTTTATTTCTTGAGCTTATTGAAAAGTTCTGTCTGTTAATTCATGTCTGGCTTGTATGCTAACTTTTTGAAAAACTATTTAAAAGAACTTTTCAACAATTCTATGAGATTCTTTTTCTTCTGTTTTCCAATTAATATTTCAACATTAATTTTTAGATATTTTACATTGTTATCATGCTTACAGACCAAGGGGTCGTTTACCAAATGCTTACCTGAGTAAGCACTTACCAAGTCACATTACCTTACCAGATTAATATGACAAGAACCAAAAATCTTACCCGGTAAGAGCAAAGACAAGGACCAAGAGTCTTACCTAATAAGTAATGACGATGACTCTTACCACGATTAGCGCTTACCACATAAATTATTACATACAATGTCGTTTTGATGGACTCAAATCTTATGCGGTAAGTAAATCATAATATTGAATTTTACGACTTTCATGAAAGGAAATTAATAACCAATGAGTATCATGCGATTCTGAAGTCATATAATCAGGCACATAAACATCGTTCCCAATTCGCAAATACATTTGAAAGGAACTCGTATGAAATCGGTGTTCAAGTGTTAACTACTCCGATACTAAAAAAAATGAGAAGCTCGTGAATTGCCGAGATTATCCGTAAAACGAATTCCGTTACGACTCATCGAAGATGAATGACACGAAATCAGTTGAACTGAATTTATTCATCGAAACCGGAAGGGTCAAAAGATGTGTGAAAGTGGTTCTTGATATCCTAATGAAGATGGGCTTCCTCTTCTCTCTTTTGAGGTTCCTCGTTGGGCTGTGGCAACGGTTTTCCGCTCAAAAAGCCTCGGAATAGAGCAATTGATCGCTCCGGTTGCGAAAAAGGAGCTTCGTGTGATGCCCCTCGAATGGTTGCAAAAGTGAGAACATCACCATACACTTGTGTCCATCCACCAACCTGCCCAAAATTGAACTTAGTAATGAAAAAGATCGAAATGCGAATGGCAAGGTTTGGTCTTTGGTCCGATTCCTATTTAAATGCAACGTAGTTTCACAACCTTCATTTTGATACCTCATATGTGATATCTCAGATATTTAGAACAAAGTGGCTTAGACAAAATAGGAATTGGATCAAAGTACGTTATATTTTCATGCAAACTCAGATGTAAACCAGATACCTAAATGTTTTGAGATGTCACGTCTAAACTACCAAAATGAGGGTTTTGGAAGTACGTTATACAAAACGGGACAGACAAAAGCATGTAGCTATTTCATGCAATTTGCCAAACCCGAATGAGAGCACATCTGAATTTTCAGCGACAAACATCTCAACCGTAGAACCCGAGCCAAGAAAACAAGAATCCGTTCAACAAAAGTGAACTAACCTGATTGCCATTAAACCAAGCCCTGTATGGGAGAGTCGTGTTCAATCCTAGTTCCTTAGCCACGCTATTGACGTCCACTCGTGTCCCGGTTAAAGGGAGAACGGAATCTTGATCCCCACTGAAAAAATTAACCAAAGGAAATGCCATTCAAAGGTTATCGAGTTAATCATCTTTTTTCTACAATGTTTGACAAAATAGTTTTTTAAGCTATCTGTTAGCTGAAAAGCTAGTTGTTAGTGAATAAGCTAGCTACTTGCTAATAAATAGCTGGTAGTTGATAAGCTGGATGACAAAAATGAACTAAGATAACTTGTTGAAAAATTAACTGGAAAGATCCAAGGGATATAGTTAGAAAAAAGCCCATTATAACTTATTGAAACGCTACTTCTTGTTTCAATAATTTAAAAAAAGAAGCTAACTTCTCACCTGTAAACAAAGACCTTGAGGCCAGACTTGAGAAGGGAGACCAACACAGGAATCATTGGTGTCTCCAAATTCTGCATCTCATAGTTTAAAACTCTGTTGTGCCAAAAAGAAAAAGCTATCGTTATTGATACGCGACCTTCGATAAAGACTCGAGTAGGAGTTCGGGTTTGTGTATTACTCGCTACACGGGGCCCATTGTTTGACGCCCACGAGACGAGCATGGAGCGCGGTTTGAACGTCTTTTCGGTTCAAGTACTCGATTGTTTTATCCTCCACGCAAACATCCACCTTTGTCTCCGTATCTTGCTGTCAAGCCGAAAGAGTTATTAGGGACAAATGAAACTGACCCATATCATAAACAACAACCGAGATGAACCCTCAGGGGCAGCTCAACTGGTAAGACACTGGGTATGCTCACCAGAAGTTACCAATTCAAGTCCCTTCGGGGCCACCGGAGAGTTTGCCAGGGCCCCATGGATTAGTCGAGGTGCATGTAAGCTGGCTCGAACACTTACAGTTACCAGAAAAAAAACAACTGGGAAGATGTTTAGCTCACATTTTGCTCAAGAACTTGTGACTGTGAGAAAACATCTGACAAACAAACATCAAGAGTGATGTCATAAGCATTAATGAATCTACCGATCTCTTTTGCAGCTTGATTTGCAACTTGAGAGCAAGTAGGGGTAATAGACTTGGACTGGGCTTGTCTTCTTATGGTCGAGTAGTTGCAGACTTTATTGAACAGTTCGTAAGTATCATCCGATATCAAACCATGAGACCAAAGATATTCCCCCCTCGAATCAAAATCCGTATTGAATTCCAAAAGTGGATTACCTATCTACACAATAAATGCCAAGTTCATTAAGAAAAAGAACCCGCTTTTCATTGAGAAAAATGTCATTGAATTTACTCACAGCGATTCCCTTGAGATTGATCTTGGCTTTTGAGTGAACTATGAGTTTTGCAAGTTGAGGAACATAGTGTCCTGTAGTTGACGATATATGTTAGCAGGGATATAGAAAACAATATAAAGTGTTCCCATATGTTAGCATGCACCTCCTCTCTTGATACAGGACTAGTTCCAAACCAAACAAACCCAGTATGTCCCACCTAGAGGTAGGGTATGAGAGGAGCAAATGTACGTAGATCTTATCTCTGTCTCAACTCTTGAGAGACACCTAGAGGGTAGATGTATGCAGACCTTCCTCTATCTCAAGAGACACCTAGAGAGTAGATGTATGCAGACCTTACCTCTATCTCAAGAGACACCTAGAGGTAGGGTCTGAGAAGGGTAGGATGTATGCAGACGTTACTTCTGTTTCAATAGACAGAGTATGCAATACTATTGTGTAGTGTGTACACATAATGAAGATGTCTTGACTTTGTTATAAAATGCAACTATTTGAAATTGTTATATACATATATCACCTGCATAGCTTTCACCCGTTATATAGAAGTCTCTATTCTTGTACTCTGGATATTTTTCAAGCCAAATCTCAAGGAAAGCAAGATTGTCGGCAGCTGAAATGAGAAACAATGATTGGGGAAGTTTGTTCTTAGTCATATACAACCTTGATCAAATCTGAATATTTTGTAGTAAAAGCAACCAGAATATTAAACCTCTAAATTCCAACTTAAAAACCAATTGTTTCTAACTGAAACAACCCATGATCACAAAAACCAAACCAAACACACCAATAACTCCTACTCGGAAGTAGAGTCTAAGGGGGTGGGCAGTACGCAGACATGAGACGTCTCATCTGACCACAACTAGTCATGTGTCTGTTTTTGGTGAAAAGCAGAGAGCTTCAAAAAGAAACAACCCATGATAAAACCTAAAACAATCCCTGTATATCCCAGACTGGTGGGGTGGGGGTGGGGGGAATGTAGAACATGTTAACCAAGCGGCATCATATGAATTCTTGGCCCCAAATAATATGGTCTGCTGCCATAGTACACCCTTAACATAACCAAATCAAACTAAATGAATCCAATAGATCTTACATGAACAGAATAAGCTCAACATCTCACATCAAAACCAATTGGCTATAAATAACACAGAATCATAAGCAAATTCTCAACCATAACTAACAAATGACACCCTCCATAAGAAGTAAAGAACCTGTAATGACATCGTTCACCGCTGAATAAAAGGTTTGATTATCAGAATAAGAGAATCCCACTCCTGCTGGTGATTCCAAGTATAACATATTTGCCTCTGTCAAAAAGAAAACATGGATGCCCCGAAATTATTTCCTCAAAATATAATCTAAGAAAGAATTAGCTAAGATATCTTTCGATGTTTATTAAACACAAAAATCTTGGCAACAAAAGTAATACTCCATCCACCCTCATGATAAACTTACCTATTTGCCCATTTTGACATAAACTGATTGTACTGATTCAAGTTCAAAATGGTGTTTACATATGTAAGCCCGGGCATTGCCAAAACAAAGGCACACAATAAAACAAACGCAATAAAGACATACATATATACACACATACATTATACATGTGTGCATACTTATGCCATCCACAAATATATACACATACAACATAAATACGTCATATTGTGGGCATTGGACTCTTAAGCAAACCACCTAATTGGCTGTTAATATCTGATTTGGCTCTCACATGATGCTCTTGAGGTGGAGTAGTGTGGTTTGGCTCAGGGGTTACAAGTTTAAAGCCTTTTGTACAAACAAACATAAATGCAGGCCTATTGTCTATGTTCTAAAGTGGCTAGGAGTATGGTCTCGGTGGTCGTAACAAAAGGGGGTTAATATAGGAGAACCGTCTTCTCCACCTTAAAAAGAATGTCGCAAAATCTGTGGGAAGGTGGTGCATTTAAAAAAAACCCATGAGAAGATTATTCTCCTAGCTAAAGACCACATCTAAAAATTTCCATGTATGAGATCCAGCAAATAAACAGTCGCAATCATCAGGACCATCAATCAATGATTCCTTATCCAAAAAAAGGCATTAATCAATGGTTTAGGGCAAACATGTATCTTCACCTTCTAAATTTAATGCTGCAATTAATAACCTAAACATGAAACAGAATTTTCTGAAAAGGAATGAAAAGATTCTGTATACCTATATTCCAACTATAATCATTTTTGATCAAAACACTTCCATTTGGTTTGAAAGGGCCATGTTCTACAAAAGCCCCTTCTCCAACAGACGAACAACCAGGCCCTGCAAAAAATTTAAGCCAAATTCTTCAAATTCATAAATCCAACAGTCATAGAATGATTAAATGTAATGTGGATATATTACCTCCATTGAACCAAAGCACAAGAGGTTTTGAAGACGAATTGGATTCCGCTTCAACAAAGTAGTAAAATAAGGATCTCCGTTTGGCATCATCAACGGCGATATAGCCGGCAAATTGCTTGAAACTGACGGGAGGTTGGCCTGGTAATTGCAGTACCTCATCCGTAAGGGAATCGACCCGTCGTTCGGAATCCACCAGTCTCAAGAATGTATGCATTAATATTATTCCATATATTAATTTTGCACAGAGGATCCATGGCTCAGACATGATTGGGAGGCCTCAGAAAGAGAGAGAGAGAGAGAGAGAGGGTTTTAGCCAGTTAGAGTAGCTTTGTATTTCCAAGTGAATGTACAAATTTGAATGCATGTTATATAAGTTTTGATTGCAGGATCTCTCTCTCTCTCTCTCTCTCACACACACATATATATATATATATATATATATATATATATATAGGGTTGGGTTCACGTGAGACCAGCCTGTTTTCGTGAGACCCGTGAGRCCACATTTTTACACGTAAACTTCACAGCAAAAACACTGTGAAGGTTTTAAAAAGTCGAACCTTCACAGCAAAAACACTGTGAAGGTTTTAAAAAATCACCTTCACAGCATTTTTGCTGTGAAGTTTCAAGTGTAAAATGTTGGTCTCACGGGTCTCACGAAAACATGTTGGTCTCACAT